AGAAGTTATATCCGGTGAGGGAATTGAATCATAGGTGTGAATGCATGAAATAGTAATAAAAATATGAAATGCAATGAAACTCACAAACTCAATCAGAAACAAGCTTTGTCAATTAACGGATCCTATGGAGCCAGTTGAACAAGGAAATTTATTTTATCTAATGCCCTGATGGAATCATTGTCAGGTCGATTACATAGGTGAAAATAGTAGAACGGGGTCATTTAGACTGGTGGAGCACAAAAGCCCAGAGTAATCCAGAGTAGATGAGCCGAATAAGGTGAGAAATGTGGAGAATAGTTCAACTATACCCCTCACTGCATGCAATCACACATAAGCTTACGAAATGATGGGATAAAGTGAAAGATTTGAAATCTTGTTTAACACGATTGAGGGACAGATTGATAACAGTAGCACTGTCACGGACATCTGGAAACGAACATACATGTCTAACTAATGGTCATCCATCCCAATGGAACACAAGTGTACAGTAAGTGATTTAGAAGAAAATTCATCTGTAGCTGCACATGAGTGGGATAAAACCACATTTACTGATCGCGACAACATTTGATTTGTATTCGGAAATGTAATACGAGCAAATGTGGATGGAGAAAGACTAATCACAGATTCTGTAATCTATATTCAATAAAGTCACGTCGAATACATGTAACAAGTGCAAGTGTCAACAATCTGGAGTATTCAACACAGTTCTTTACCGTCAACTGCATACAAACACATTGACATTGTTGCAATGAATGATGAATGATCAATTTCAACAAATATCTGATCTGTATGCGATGGATGATGATTGGTGGTAATCTGTTAACGTCAGTATTCAGTGAATAGTATTCATCAAAGCACACATACTAACAAATAGAGTGAAGTAATTGCAGTAGAATTAATACAATACAATTGTAAACATCTAGATTTGATAGCACTGAGACACAACGAAACTTCATAAAAACAAAACAAAAACAGAAATAAATTCAACATATGTATACACCATATAGGACTAAATAACAAGATTTTAACCTGTCTGATTTCAAATCATAAGATAGATAGTTTGAAGACTGCTCACTGAGGTTAACGACACTCAACACACATTGTGATTTTCGATTTGCACACATCCTGAGAGAAATTAATTGCATGTCAGATGAAATAACGACTGTACTACTGCTACTCATAGTAGTAGTAGTAGTAGTAGTAGTAATGGAGAAAACATGCTGAAGAGAAGTGAGGGGAAGTGAAGGGAAACTACACATGTGAAATGGAAGTATGCTGTCAAGGTAGATTCAAGTTAACCACTCTCTCATTTTGTATGCAGAGATCCGGCTTCTTCAATCTGATTGCACAGGCTTCAGCAAAACAAAGAGTCTTTTGCATTAACTTGCTTATTCAACGTCACCATATGGTCATAGTCTAATAAAACTTTTTTTAACTTATTCGTTTACACTCTGAATACGTCGATGTAGTAGCGTTGTTGGAAACAGAGTTCCCTTTAGTGGAACTTGCACCTGTGACTATCTTCCTGCATCTTTAGTATTTATTCTAAATATTTAACCCTATTACTGCTTCCAAAATATGTGTTTGGTGCCCTTTTACTATTATCTTTCTGTAAGATTATCTTTCACAGATGGTAACCGGATGAACAAGTTGGAAGCACAAAACCACATCAGATACTTTTCAATCAATAAGAACATCACTTTAAGTGTATGTGCATCAGTACGAAAAATGTTCCTTAAGATACCTCAGTATAGTAAAAAGGAAAACATTTGTTAAAAGTGATTGAATCTGTCGGTGTACTTGCTGATTTATTCAAAGACTTTTTCTATCTAAAACTTCAAAGAAATCTGAATTAATTTAACAGTCGTACGATCGTGATCTGCTATTTCCCTTATCTTCCTTTTTTATTACTTTTATATTATACATACCAGCGGAAGGTATATTCATGAACGTGATAAAATAATCTTATCAATTATCGTTGGTCAAGGAATAAGTTTTACTCGTCAATATATGGGTTATTTGAGTATTTCTCCAGGAAAACACTTTTCATCAGTTAGGAGAAGTTCATAAAATGAACCAAAAAGTAACCGATTCCTTAGAAATTATAACCACAGGATGGTAAATCTAAAACAGCCTAAAGTATGTAGTTGATTTCATTGTCAGGTATCTGAAAAACCCAATAAATAGAACATTTCACAGAAAAATAATAGTGAAAATTAGTCCAGGTACTTACTGTAACGACCTAAGCTGAAGTTTTGTGGTCTGAATGCTGGAAACCGATCTATGCATCCCTCTGTATAGCTAAACAAAACTTCTATGAGTCACACACAGTCACGAAAATTCCAAAAGACAGCAAAATGACAGCTACTTGCGATCAAATCTGAAGGACTATTTTACAATAATAACATATCGAAAACTCAGCATGATCTAAAGAAATTCCGTTAGGCAGCTATACAGACCAGAGAATTCCCACGTATAAAATTAGTTAACCGAAAATGATAGTAGTGATAGTGATAAAAATAACAATAATAATAATAGTAATACTAATGACAACATGCATGTCAAACATGCGCAAGATAATAACAACACCAACAATAGGGAATCTAAATCATCAGTAGTAATTCCATACAAGGAAGGAACCTCGGAAGCCTCACGCAGAATGCCTAATAGGACAGGAACAAAAGTGGCTGACATTCAAATCCACAAACTCAATTATAAACAAGCTTTGTCAGTTGAAGGATCCTGTGGAGCCTTTAAAACAAAACAATTTGGTTTATCTAATATCCTGCCTGCAATGATTGTCAAGCCAAACACATAGGTCAGAGTAGTAGAACAGGGGTGATCAGATTAGCGGAGCATAAAAACCTAGTAAAATTTAGATTGGTTAACCCGAATAAGATAAGAAATCTAGAGAATAGTTCAGCTATGCCAATCAATACTTGCAATTAAACACAACCATACAACAGGATGGATGGGATAACATGAAAGTTTTAAAATCTAATGTCACAGGGTGGCGAGTGGGGAGAGATTGATGTCAACGGAAGCTTTATTTATCGAATCAACTGCAAATACGTGTAATAGGAATGATTCAACACCTGTCCAATCGGACATCTGGAAAATCCTACTACCCATACGACGACAAATAGGAGAGAACAAAGAAAACTATAAAACTCAAGTTTCGAATTCGTGTGATTACAATTGATATGATTATGAACAATAAATTTTGTTCGAAACGTCATCCAGTAAATAATACTGTTTCACTGTGTGATATATCTAATAAACAAACTAATATGGAATTACTTACTATCACAGTGCGCAAGTTTCACACATATATTAATCTTAGTAGATATGTCGTTTGACTTATTCAGAGGAAATACTATACACACTGCTCCTTCTGAGATTTGGTTTATGTTTTTCAGTTAAGTTATCTAAGGTTTGAGTTCACCAGTAGTTCAGTCTTTTCTACACTGAGTTTTTTAATGAATGTTGGCTAAGGTACCAGCTTCAAAGATTTCCAACTCATAGGTCCTGAAGCTGGTGCTACTGTAAGAAGATTAATCGCTGCAACTGAGAATACTCTGTGCAATAACCGACTGGAGAATATCAGAAGACAAATTGGCAATTCACTACTGTTTATTTCTTCGGTGAAAATAAACCAGGAATAGGAGGTTCCCACAGCACAAAGTCTATAAATAAGCATCAGTATAATTTAGAATAATACTTGTGAACGTTTCACTCCGATCTTCTGCCAGATGGCAAGTAACTAGACCACAACTGTCATAGTTGCCCGCCGCGAAACTAGAGATCCTTTTTAAATAAACAAACCACAGATTGCTGGGTCAATGTTCACCACTATTAACGGTTGCTTATAAAAATGATGAACTAACTATTACTTGTGCGTTGGTGGTTCAGTGGTAGGGTGCTGGCCAACCACTCACGTAGTCTGGGGTTCGAGTCCCAGCCGTCGCGAACATTTCCTTTATTAGTCGCTATAATCTCGACAAATAGAGGAGGTTGGGCGTGAGACTAGCAACTCCACCCTGTAAAAAAAAAACAACTGCTACTGAAACTTTACAGCTAAAGCTTGAAGCCTTATGTTACATTGGGAACGGAAAGGATTAAAAAAACGATTAGTGGTAAAGTCAGATGATAAAAATAGTACAAACTTCTTTTCATACTACTTCATACAATAAGTGTGGGAAGAAACTGTATGGTCTTCAAGGGATTAATATGTTTCAGTATAGATTTTAAGAATGAGTTGCAAATTCAATAGTAAGCATATCACTAAAACAAATCTTTAAGTGAACACAAGCTTCGTCAAATTCATAAGCAAACTGTTACTTAATAAACTAAATTTTCTCAAACACTTCGGAGTTTTTAATTCAATTTTAGATTTTCCCGTCGATTGATCGGACCGAAGTGTTCGATCTCAGGTTAACATGTCGGCTTCTTGTGCAGATGCTTCGACGATGTCTGGGCATGTAATTAGAGGTTAACTGGTGGATGGAGACTAACGGTGGAACCCAAGATGCGCATTTTGTCCTATTTGGGGCTCGTCCTCCAGCTGGAAGTACCTACATTCCTCACTGAGTGATGATGTTCCCACCGAGTCCGAAATAGGACGAAACGCGCATCTGGATCCACTGCTGTCACAATCCACCAATTAACTTCTGAGTTTTTTTAAATTCTTAGTAAACTTACTCCTACACGTTATAAATCTCAATCTAGAAGGTTTTTTTCACCAAAATCTGATTTGATTATGAGGACAGTAGCTTTAACATGCATACATATAGGACTATTCATTGAACTGACCTGTCATTTTCTAATTCACTTGAAGATATGTGCAATTGTATTCAGATAGTGAAAGACCCACACACACCCACACACATTAGTGCATAAAGGTTTTCTTGACGATATTATTTCGGTGTGCAATACACACAAACACACTAACAGAAAACACATACACATATTTCCCAAATAATTTGTGTAAACACGTGCACTTTCATGATAGACACACATAATGACATAATGACACTCCCCCTTTGATTTGTAAAAATAATTTTGGCAAATAGTTCAGTACTACTTTATGGAATTAATGTGGGAAGGATATATCTTAAGATTAAAATGATATTTTTTTTCAGTTGATATGTCGCTGATGTGCATTACAACAATTTAGTTTCAATTTCCAAGAGACTATCTTCAAAACAGATCCAAATTGAAGATGTTTATCAGTGGACTGAACTATGTTTCAAAAATGAAACCTACTGCATTTGTATGAAATAGTCACTGGACAAAAAGAAATAGTCCAAAGCAATTAAATGGAATCTAATGAAATTTTATCTTCATCGCCGTCAACATCATTATCAGTATCTATGGCCAACGGGACTAGCACATCATCATCGGTGGAAGAGTCTATAAGCATGAATATTACAGAGGGATTTTCTGCTGAAAGTTTCTATGAGGCTGTTACATCAAGTGTACGTGATATCATTAATACAATAGCAACACTTCCATTACATCATGATCATATCACTACTGCACATTCAGAATTTGCTTGTGTTGGGAGTGAATTGTCTGAACCAGATTTTCAACTTTATGCATGCTCTGGTAGTAAGATTACATCATGGATTGCTAGTGTATTTTTGATCAGTATGAGCATATTTGGTATCATAAGTAAGTATTTAATTGATTAGAAATATTTATGCAGTTTGGTTATTCAATTTTTTTTATTTTTGAGTAACTCATCAGTTTATAACTATAACATCTTATATAGTATACTATTATCGTGTACACAATAAGATTACGAGGTTGAAGATTGACACAGTTTTCAAAACTTGTCATCATTCTTTAACGGAATTTTAGATTTTCCCGTCGATTGATCAGGCTGAAGTGCTCGGCCTCAGATTGACATATCGGCTCCATAAGCATATGCTTCGACGATGTCTGAGCATGTAATTAGAAGTTAATTGGTGGATGGTGACTAGCAGTGGAATCCAGGATGTGCATTTCGTCCTATTCGGGACTCGTCCTCCAGCTGGATGTACCTGCATTCCTCAGTGTCCAATCAATCGACGGGAAAATCTAAAATTGAATTAAATAATTAATATGACCCGTTGCACAAGAGGTGGCTCTCGTGGCCCAAGTGGTCTAGTGGATAACGCTTTGGCGTTTGAAACTATGGGCACTGGGTTCGAGCCTCACACGGAATACTATTACCTAGTGAGTGGGGAATTCAGGTACATCCATCTGGCGGACGAGTCCCAAGTAGGACGAAATGCGCGTTGTTCTGGATTCCACTGCTGGTCACCATCCACCAACTGTCATCATTCTGTTTTGAAGTAATAAATCATAAAACTGAGATAATGTTTGAAGTGTTTCGAAGAATAACAAAGCTGCTAATAAATATATTAGAGCATTAGACCATTTTGAATTCATTTGAATAAAGTAAGAACAGCAATTTGTACAGAGGAACATGAATCCATCGTTTATTTTGTCGACTTTTCATAGGCTGCGTACAGCAAAAGAAATTATTAATTTTACATATAGAACAATTTTAACATAAATGCAAATGTTGCATAATTTCGGTCGACAGGAGACACCAAACTTAATATGGAGGATAAAGTGCTCAGAAATTATACTCATAAAGCTTATATCAAGAAAGTCCAAGTTTGAACAAAAAATTAAAAGCTTGGACAAAATGTCAAGATGGTTATGTGGCGAAGACAAGAGGTGAACAAGATGATGAGTCACTCATAAACTGAGTTACAACGCAGTGAATCCAGCCTAAATCATCGAAATACAAGACAGGCAAAATTATTCTCCAGGGAAGGTGGGAAGGATTACAGACGAAGATTACGTAATCAAATGGATGGGAGAGTAAAGAAATCCAATTACCAGAACAAGGAAAGACTGACAACCACTTCTTTCTGAATACATTAATTCGAGTACTCATGTCATTAGTTCCTTCAAGGTTGCAGGTACACCTTGCTGACGAGTGCCAACTAGAACAAAACCAATTGCCTCCAACCATCTAATACACAAATCGGGTTTCAGGCGTTTCATAGCAAACTTGAGGATTACTGAACTATTTTGTTCATTGATAATTTCAAAAGATTTCGTAGTGGACATCTCATCTCCCGTATTGATGAGATGTCTGGCAATGATACTATTGTAAACGTTTTTTCCCTTGAGACATAGGCTTTTGATACACGTTCAGGAAATCCAAAATGTGCCCTTCTTTCTGTCCTCCCGTTGTACCTGCTAACGCAGATACACGTAAATTCTTCAATTTTTCACTTTAAGTGACTTTCATGATGAAATTCATAAATAATTTCAGCTTTGTTAGTGATAAATTCAGTATATTTTTATCACATCTGTAGGTGAGGTATCATACTGATAGAAACATATTGCTTTTCTCTTTTCCTCTATCACTTAAATAATGAAACAAATAATTAAAGTTAAAAATGCAAATGGGATTCTTCCAAGAAACATCCTTTTACCATTGCGTGATGTACTTATGTCATGAAAAATTCTGGTCACATTTTAAGCAAAACAATTGTTGATTTTACACTTGTAATTATTTTTAACTCCCAACATAAATATTTTATAAGTGAAAGTAACTTTCACCTACATAGAAGAATATAAGTAAAATTTGTAACTGGAAAGTTCTGGTTTCAAACCCTGGTGGGTGCGTACTGTGAAGAGTCCCAAACTAGGCTGACAAAACAGCTGTCCAGTACTCCCAGGTGGGTATTTCTTTTTCTTTCTCATGCGTTATCAAACAGTGTGCTCGTCTAAGAAGACTTGAAACAACTGATACCTTTTTGCTGATGGGGTGTGACGATCCGAAGTCTAAATATTTATTGGAGTAGGTTTTTTTCCTGAATATAGATATCCTGAAATGTTCGTTTTCCTTCCTCTTAACTAGACAGTCTAGAAATGGTATTTCACCAAAGTCTGATTCTTCTTCCGAAGTAAACTGGATTCTGGGAGATAGATTGTTCAGTTTCTCCAAGAATGAACTGTGTAAATCTCGTTTTAGCACTGCAAAAGTATCATCAACGTATCTTAACCATATTTTAGGAGTGAGTATGCTTGAAAAGATGTTATCTTCGAATCTATTCATGAAAAGATCAGTGATTATTGGGGAAACTAGTGAACCCATAGCAACACCATTTGTCTGTCTATATAAATTCCCTTTAAATGTAAAATAATTACTTTCTAGACAGAATTTTAAGCTCTTAATTATTTCACTGGTGTCCCGTGGACATGTTTGTGATAACGTTGTATCTGATTCTAGTAAACCGCCTGAAACACTGTAGATTAACTCTAATAGGTAGCTTAACTGCATAGCACTTCAATGCCTATCTAAAACTGATGAACACCGTTAAGTATGAAGCTTGCAAGCAGACGAAATGCGAGTAAAATTAGTTGAAATAAGTGAGACTACTGGGTAGAAGTAACTTTTTCTCTGCCTGAAATGAAATCAATGATGAAAACTACACCAAAGTTATGTCAGGAAACAGATTTATGTGCTTAGCTATGCATGCACTGAACATTTTTGACATACCTTTACATCTAAATGACATAACTCTCAAATATTGTAAACTTTAATTTTTTTCTGTGTTTGGTTTTACTTATGCCCGCCCCCCGCCCACAAAAAATAGGTAAAAACCTAGTTATTTTCCTTCAATCATTCTTAAATGACCTATATATATATATACATCAAGATATTGACTATAAATAATTTTTAAAATATTTAACAAAACCCTTGGTAACATGCTGTATGATATTTATATAGATAGGTCACATGTTTAGGAAAAAATGTACTTACCTGCACTTTTGTACGGCTGATTGGACGGACGATGATTACACTTACTTTCTTCTTTTTTTTGGAAAAAAACCCTCATCTATTGTATGTTTACTTTGTAATAAAAAAAGAGAACTTATTTGAAAATCGAGGTTCCATTCGATAGTCTGTCAAAATAATGAAGGAATAGATGAGAATTTTTTTTTTTTAAAAAGTGGACACATTTGAATCGCTTACATTTTAGCTAAGATTACAGTTGACTTTCATTTAACCGATCAAATTTTGATAGATAAACTCGATCTAATCGGTTGTATGAAAATAAAAAGAAGCAGAAAACTTGGGAACATGAAACTTCTTCTGACAAACTGTTTGATGGTTTTACACTGTGCAGTTGACAAATATTAGCATGGGCAATAAAAAGTCGTATGTTAATTATCGATATAAAAAGAAGATGCAGCAGTTTGACTTGACAGAACAACTTTTGTTTTGATTTTACTGATAAATGACATGAACTATAGAAGCAATAATGTCAGGTAACACTGAACTGTTTTCATATTCTTTTCCGTAACTCACTGAGAGTGAAATTCCAGTGGTTAGATTTTCGTCATGAACCAACAACATTTATAGAGATCATTGAAACCCAGGAAGCACTGGAGAGCCTTTTCGTTCCAGTTTGGAAATCCTCAGCAGTGCACGTCGTCGACCCCATCTGGGATCGAAACCAGAACCTTCAGGTTATTAGTTCAAGCTCGTTAACCAATCAGTCAATTGGCCTGGAATCCAATGACCCCTGAATTCTAACTTTGTCAAAATATTCTAATGCCACAGATTGGCTTTAAACAATTCAGTGAGGGTCCAACTGCTTTTGTTGAGTTTCTGTAACTCCAGAATACGGTTTTATGTGGTAACAGATGTACAGTTGTAGGGAAAATGCATAAACCTTCCATTGAAATCTTAATTTGCACGTGTTGTTCTTTTTGTGCTTCTTGTGTCTTCCTTTCCCGCTTTCTATACAGTTTCACAAGGATCTTTCATTCCTCCCTTTTACAATTCGATCTATCCTTTGGCCATTCAGTATTCTTGGAGATGACATTGCACACATACTATACTACTTACTAAATTTTGCCAGTGCCACATACCATCCCATCAGTTCACATTAATTATATTACGTTTTCCTTTTATTATCTAAGTTTGTCTGCATAGCAAACTTCGTACGGAGTTGAATCAGCTAGAGAAAAAAGGATCTTTTTAACATGAATGTTCACATCTCACATTAACAAGCTCACTTCGCCAATGCACTTACCTAAATAAATTTCTATTTTACATTTTCCCTATCAGAGATTCCCAGAGAAAGTAACAGCACTGCTCTAGCGCTGATTATAATCAATGTATTTGTAGATGCACAATTTCTTTTATGTAAGCAAACGTGATTACTGATCCAGCAAAACTCGTATACTATTGAAGACCAGGGAGTACTGGATAGCTGTTCTACCCTAGTTTGGGAATCATCGGCATTACGCACCCACTGGGTTTCGAACCCAGGACCTTCCGGTTACAAGGCAAGCTTTTAAATCATTCAGCCACTGGAACCCGAATGACATAAGAACTTGCCTTGTAACCGGAAGGTCCTGGGTTCGAAACCCAGTTGGTGCGTACTGATGATGATTTCCCAACCAGGATGAAACATTTACCATTGTTGAAAATTTTGGATTAATTTCAGTTGTTAGATTTTTTCATGAAACAGCATCAATTAGAGAAAGCACTGAAGGTCAAGGAGCAAAGGACAGCCGTTTCGTCCTATTTTGGGACTCTTCAGTAATGCAAAACCATGACCCTGCCACCTCAGACCTTCGGGTTACGAAAC